ACAGAATCCCACTTTGTAGTTTAGGCTGGCCTTGTATTCCTGCCACACCAGATTTCTCACTGATTCTGACAGAGGTATGAATTTGTGTGTTTCTATGCCTGGCTTGTTCTTTTTCTTTTGCTTAGAATGTTCTTCTTCTTTTTTACTTAATGAAGGCCCCTGATTCCTTCATCAAGCCCAGCTTTCTCTTTGAATCTATAAAGCATTTTGTATCTCACTATATAACCCAATAAAACTGAGTTCCTACTTTGTGCCAGGCACTTCAGGAGTTAGGGATATAATTAACATAGCAGACTAAATTCCTCCTGTCATGGAGTTAACATTCTAATAGGCCAGGATAGAGAAACAAAACACAAACATCTATGTATATAAAGTGAATAACAAGTACTTTAAATACAATGCAACCTAGAGAGATAGGAGGTAATGAGAATAAGGGCGATTATTTTAGATAGTAAAGTCAGGGAATGCTGTAACATTTGAGGAGAGACCTGAGAGAAATGAGCACGCATATAGGGATGTTTGAAGGAAGAATATTGCAGGCAGAAGGCACAGTAGCTGTAAGCCCTGAGCCAGAAATAGCAGGTGGCTGGTGTGACTAGATTGGAGAGAAATGACTGTTTTTTTTCTTTTGGTGGTACTGGAGATTGAACCCACGGCCTTTGCACTGAGGTATGTCCTCAGCCCTTTTTTAATTTTGTCACAGCATCTCTCTAAGTTGCTAAGTTACTTAGGCAAGCCTTGAATTTACAGTCCTCTTCCCTTAGCCTCTCAGAGTACTGGGATTACAGGCATGTCCACAATACCCAACTTGATTTATTTTACATGCTTTTTTTTTTTTTTTTTGTACCCGGGATTGAACTCAGGACCTTGTGCTTATGAGGCAGGCGTGGTGCCACTGAGCTATGTCCTGGCCCTCAACTTGATCTATTTTTAAAGGTTCACCCTGGACACTGAAAGAGAGAGAGACCAACTAAGTTTGAGTATGAGAAATTAGTTTTTTTCTGAGTGGAGTTCTGTGGCCCTGAGGGCATGGATTTGGTGGCACTGACTCACAGTGCATATCCTAACCTAGAATGTAACATTAAGGTGGTCTCTCTTGCAGACTTGGCCACCTGGGTGTCCTGGACTACTACCTGATGGATGCTGCCTCCTTGCTACCTGTCTTGGCTCTTGGCCTTCACCCCGGAGACACTGTGCTTGACCTGTGTGCAGCCCCTGGGGGAAAGACACTAGCATTGCTTCAGACTCTCTGTTGCCGTAAGTCAGGGCAGGGATGTCTTGGCCGAGATGGCTTCCCACCTCACCTAGTCACACTGATTGACTTTCTGGTGAGCTATCTGGTCCCAAGGTCAGAGAGGACATAGGCCGCTGAAGGCAGATTAAAGCAAAATCCAATAAAGAAAGTCTAGACAGAGCCAGGGATTTAGCTCAGTGGCACCATGCCTGCCTTACAAGCGCAAGGTCCTGAGTTCAATCCCTGGTACAAAAAAAAAAAAAAAAAAAAAATACTGTACACCATTTTTGAAAAGCATAGTGGTTTTTTTCTCCTTGGGGATCTGAGAAGTAACCACAAGGGCTGATTTTCATGCCCGACCTAGAACTATGCCAGGTTTCTTTTGCCATGTGCCTGAGCCTTTCTGTGTCCCTGAATTCTTCTATTTCAGTTCTTATCAGCCAGCTTACACAGTTCAAGTTAGCCTCCCCTCTCCTTGTAGCTCAAAGCTGATTCAGAGAGCTGTCACATCTGGTGTCAGGCTTGTAGATGTCTAGAGGGAAAGGAGAGAATATGTGGACATGTGGAGAGCCTGACCTGTGTGCTGGGCTGTGCTTATCCACCTGAGTGCTGTGGGAATCCTTCAGAAAGGAGATGAGGGTAAGGTCACTTGGAATGGGAGAAACTTGAGCAAAGGAGGGAAAGGGCAAAGGCAATATAACTGAGAGTTGTTGTTCTAAGGTGTGCTGAGTTACGAGCACCTCGACTTCATCCCAGCTCCTCACCCACATGACTGAATTCCTGATTCCAGGAAGACAGGATCACAGAATCTTGTTAGTACGAGAAAGAAATTTAAAAGTTTCTTAAGTCCAGCCCTCCTGTTTAGTAAAGGAGGAAACAACCCTGATGAGATTATAACATTTGCATTTTACAAGAGTTTGGAGGTAGAGCCAGAACTGGAACCTGTCTTTTCTTTTTTCCTGAAAATTCTTCTAGAGCAAAGAATCTTGTTTTTCCATTGTTGAATGCCTTTAAAAGCTGGGACATTTCTATCTGGGCATGGTGGCATACACCTGTAATCCCAGCACTCTGGAAAGCTGAGGCAGAATGATTGCAAGTTTGGGGCCAGCTCAGTCAGCTTAGCAATTTAGTGAGATTTTATCACAAAATAAAAGTTTGAAAGTATGGCTATATAGCTTAGTGCAAAGGCTCTGGGTTCAATCCTCAGTATGTTAAAAAAAAAGAGACAGACCAGGGATTAGCTCAGTGGTTCCACCGCCTGCCTCACAAGTGCAAGGACCCAAGTTCGATCCCCAGTACAAAAAAAGAAGAAAAGAAAAAAATTGGGACATTTCTCTGCAGGGATACTAAACTGGTTCGTGGTAGTGACTGTTCCTATTACATAACCTGTCCAGTTCCCATCTCTCTTGTTGCCTCTTCACTCAGACTGCGTATCAGCTGTGAGATATTTCTCTAAATCCTGTCTGTCAAAAAAAATGAAATAAAGCTGGGTGCATGCCATTGATCCCAGCACTCTGGGAGGCTGAGGCAAGAGAATTGCAAATTCAAGCCCAGCTGGGGCAACTTACCAAGACACTGTCTCAAACTAAAAATAGAAAGGGCTGGGGATGTAGCTCAGTGCAAAAAGGAGAGAGCACAGAATGTTTTAAGAATAGTGGCTTCAGGGCCAGGGATTTAGCTCAGTGGTTCCACCGCCTGCCTTGCAAAGGCAAGGACCCCAGTTCAATCCCTGGTACCAAAAAAAAAAAAAAAAAAAAATGTGGAGCCAGGTGTGGTGGCGCACACCTATAATCCCAGCACTCGGGAGGCTGAGGCATGAGGATTGCTGTGAGTTTGAGACCAGTCTGGACTACACAGTGAGACCCTGTCTCAACAACAAAAAAAAAAAACAAAAACAACAACAACAACAAGAAACAAAAGGGTAGAGAGTGTATTTCCTTAGAAATAAATATTCTTATTTGGCCTCCTTTATTTATTAGCCTTTCTTGGCCAACAGGTGCTGGTGGATGTGCCCTGTAGGTGTCTGCCCTGACAACCTACCCTCCAGAGAGTTGATGTAGTGCAGTGTACACAACACATATCTCTATCCAGGGGATCTGCATTGACTGGCTGTGCCTAAGAATTGATCTGAGTCTCCATGAGCACCACTGCTGGTGGGATGTTTTATTGGGCTATGGCTTCTGAAGTATTTTTATTTTCACAGGCAACCTTGCTGCCAACGATCTGTCCACTTCTCGGACAGGTAGACTACAGAGGGTCCTTCAAAGCTATGTGCCTCAAGATATCAGGGAAAGGAATCAAGTTCGAGTCACTTCCTGGGACGGAAGGAAGTGGGGAGAACTGGAAGGGGACACTTATGACCGAGTGAGTAATTCTTTTTCTTTGGTACTGGGGATTGAACTCTGGTCCTTGCACTTGAGAGGCAGGTGGCAGAACCACTGAGCTAAATCCCCGGCCCCTGGAGTGTGTAATTTTTGATTTAAGTAAGACATCCACTTCAATTTTTTTTTTTCTTTTTTAATCGTTTTTTCAGACAGGGTCTTGCTTTGTAGTTCAAGGCTGGCCTTGAACTTACTATGTAGCCCAGACCGGCCTCAGACTCACCACAGTCCTCCTGACTCAGTCTCCTAAGTGCTGGGGTGACAGGTGTGTGTCACCGTGCCTGGCTTTTTCATAAATTTTAGAATTAAGATTGTCAGTTTGTAAATCAAAGCCATTGGTCCTCATCAACAATTTCTTTGACTCTTAAGCACTTAATTTGAAAGATAATTTTACCGGGGCCTGGGATTTAACTCAGTGGTTCCGCTGCCTGCATGGCAAGTACAAGGACCTGAGTTCGATCCCCAGTACCAAAAAAAAAGAAAAAAAAGATAATTTTACTGGACATAGGAATTTATGTTGCCAGTGTTTTCTGTTTGGAATTCAGAGTGCTTATTGAATCCATGCCTTGATTTTGCTATCAGCTTTAGAAAATTCTTAGCTACTGTCTCTGAATATTTTTTCTGCTTCATTTTTGTCTGTCTTACAATTTTGGAACTTTAATCACTTGTATTTTAGGCTTCTTTACCATGTCCCACATGTTTTACTTTTTTTCTCTCTCCTTCCTTCCTTTCCCCTTCTCTCTCTCCCTCCTCTTCCTCCTCTTTTTTTTTTTACTGGGGATGGAACTCAGGACCTTGCACCTGCCAAGCAAATGTGGCACCACTGAACTACATCCTCGGCCCTCTTCCTCCTTCTCTCTCCCTTTGTCTCTCTATGTCTCTCTCTTTTGAGGTGATGGTGTTGGACATCAAACCTGGGACCTTGTGCATGCTAGACAGTGTAGCTCTACCACCGAGCCCTGTTACATCCTAAGCCCCTATTTTTTTTTTTTTTTTTTTTTTTTTTTATTTTTTTTTTTTTTTTTTTGAGATAGGGTCTCACTGTGTAATTTAGACTGACCTGGAACTCACTATGTAGCCCAGGCTGGTCTTGAACTCACAGCCATCCTCCTGCCTCAGCCTCCTGATTATAGGCATGTACCACCATGCCCGGCTCTAAGCCCCTATTTTTGTTCTTACTGTTTTTGAGACAAGGTCTTCCTATGTAGTTCAGGCTGATCTTGATCTCACTATGTAGCCCAGGTTTGCCTCAAATATGTAGTGATCCTCGTGCATCAGCCTCCCAAGTGCTGGGATTACAGGCATGTGCCACCAGGTTTAGCTGAATTTTTTTTTTCTGATACTGGGTATCAAACTCAGGAGCTTGCACTTGCAAGGCAGGCATGGTGCCACTGAACTAAATCCCCAGCCATGCCAGGCGTGGTGGCGCACGCCTGTAATCCCAGCACTTGGGAGGCTGAGGCAGGAGGATCGCTGTGAGTTCGAGACCAGCCTGGGCTACATAGTGGGCTACAGGGTCAATCTCAACTACATAGTGAGACCCTGTCTCAAAAAACAAAACAAACAAACAAACAAAACAAAACAAAACAAAATCCCCAGCCCTTAACTGCATATTTTATTTTTATCTAATTCACTAGCCTCTGTCTTTTACTCTTCTGTGTTTCTATTTTTTTCTCATGATTCAGTCTGAATATTTTATTTTCCCTTAATTCTCTAGTTCTTTCTTCAACTCTGTTAATATGCAGTTAAATATATTTATTGCTTTTTTTTTTGTGGAACTGGGGATCAAACTCAGGACCTTGTACTTGCCAGGCAGGCACTGATGCCACTAAGGTAAACTTCTAGTCCCTCTGTTGCATTCTTAGTTTTAGTTACTGTATTTTACAGTTTTAGGATTTCTGATTCTTTTTTTTTTTTCCCGGTACCGGGGATTGAACTTGGGTCCTTGCACTTGCAAGGCAGGCCACCGAACTGCTGAGCTAAATCCTGGCCCTTCTGATTCTTTTTTTTAATTTTAAAGTTTTGTAAATTTTAGTTTTTTCATCTGACTTTTTAATATATTAATTGTGATGTTTTGAAACACTTATTTCTGGTAATTTCAGTATTTGGTCTCATATAAGTCTGCTTCTGCTATCATATTTTTAGGCATATACGTGGTGCTGAGGGTTGAACCCAAGGCCTCATGCTTACTGAGTACATGTTCTACCACTGAGTGACACCTCTGTTATTAGGTAGCTCCTTTTAAAAATGACTCGCCAAATAAATGTTACTAGGTTTTGTGGTGCCGATATCTCCTTCTGGAGTTGGATTCCAGGTTCTTTCTGTCTTGAACAAAGATTGAATGAAATGATCAAAAAGCAGTGGCAACGTTTATTTGAAAAAGTAAAAGTGAAGAAAGAGAGAAACTGTCTCTGCAGTGTGAGCGTGGGCTGAGTAAAAGAGGAAAAAACAAGATAAAAGAACACCCTGGAGGAAGAGGGGTGGGCTGTGGTGAAGAAAGCCACAATAGCCAGCTCTTCTTGGCATCTGTGTCCTATGCTGTCCATATCTTGAGGAAACGCACAAAAACTTCTACATACAGGTCCTGAGAGACGGTGCTATTAGGGTTAGGATTGGCCTGCTTCCTCCAGGGTGTACTTTTACCTTTCTTTTTCCTACACACTACATTCTAGGTCGCACACATGGCACCTGGAGGAGCTATTCCGCAACTGGGTTAATAGCAGGCTCTCTGGCTGTTCTTTACCAACTTGTATCTGCAATGATTGACCAAACATTGGAGAGTGAAGAAAGGGGGAGATAAACTTAAAGTGGTCCTGTAGGCCTCCTACAGCTGGAAGAAAATCACAGAGGCCACCGCCCCATCCAACTTACGTACACAAGTGGAAAAGCAGGAAACAGTTCCCAGTGCCATGAGAAGAATCTCCTGGAAAGAAGAAGAAGAAAAAAAACCTTTGTGGCATTTTAGAGAGAGAAAAACTGTCCAAAAGGGCCTGGCCTGCTCCTTTTGGCTGGATATGCCAAATATGTTACTGGGTTTTAGGATGCTGAAGTCTCCTTCTGGATGTGGTTTCTAGGTTCTTTCTGTCCTGAACAAAGAATTGGTCAAGGCAAGCACAAATGGTAGCAAAGTTTTATTAAAGGTGGGAAAAACAGGATCTACAGAGTGAGTTTGGACCAAGGAGAAGTAGGAAAAGAAATACACTTTGCAGCATGACAGTGGGCTACCATGCAAGAGAGAACGCCGTAGCCTCTTGGAGTTTTTGTTGTTGTTGTTATTTTGTGCTTTGAGGCAGTGTCTTGCTATGTAATACAGGCTGGACTTGAACTCACTATGTAGCCCAGTGGCTTCAAATTTGTCACAATCCTCTTGCCTCAGCTTCCCAGATTCCCAGAATTTTATCTTCTGAGTTAGTAATTTTTAATTTTGATTGCCAATGCTGTGTATAAAGAATTGCAAGGATAATCTGAGGCTGGAGATGCTGCTAGCTTCCTTTTAAAAGATTTTGATTTGCATCAGGGCAACAGTTAACATTAAAGCATATCATTAATTTACTCAGAATTTAGGCTGATTAAAGGTTGGTCTTTGTGAAAGGCTGTTCTTTTTCCAGCTTTCCTCTGTATCTAGGGTGTTAAATCTCAGAAGCCAGCTCAAAGCAGAAAGTATTTGTTTACTAGCATGCTCTTTGAAGATTTGGTTTTGCTATGGATTTTCATTTTGGTTTCTCACCTCACATGGGAAATGCACTTTTTTTTTGTCCTTCTAGGCTTTTTGTTAATAGGGATTAGTTAAAAAACAAAAAACAAACCATAAACCATTAGCTGGGTGTGGTGGCACATGCCCATGATCTCAGAACTCTAGGAGGCTGAGAAAGGAGGATAGCAGATGGCTGTCTAGGCTGGGCAATTTAGTGACTAAGCAAGACCTAATCTCAAAAAAGGGACTGGAGCTGGAGATGTTGCTCAGTGTGAAGGCTCTGGGCTCAGTCCCCAGTTCTGTACTGAAAGCAAAATAAAACAACCTCAGAAGCCATTAACTTAGCTCCTACATGCCTCTTTGGATTTATTTTCCTGTCTTTTTTTATTCCTTTTGGTTTTTGTAATTTTAGAAACAAGAGATATGGAATTCTTCTATGATATGGTTTCTAGAACATTGAATTGGTCCTTCTGTGGGCATCTCCATTAGTTAGTATTTCATTTTTTTCTGTGAAGGGCAGCCCCATCACAGTTCGTATGGTCTGACTAGAATACAAGGTAATTGGGCTGGGCATGTAGTTCTGTGGCTTTCCTTGCCAGTGCAAGGTCCTGAGTTCAATCCCCTGTACCAAAGAAAAAGAAAAGAATACAAGGTGACCATTTTTCTACCAAGGCAACTGGGAACACATCAGGATGTTGAACACTGGACCACTTTTTAATTTTCTTAGAGTTTCTGCTTAACTAAAACAGGTCTTTTTCAAAGATGATTTAACTTTTTGAAACAAAGTTTTAAAATTTTGGTTTTTCTTCAGTAGGCTCTTTGTAATGAATGACTTTATATTTCTTATTTTAAAACATTTCCATATTAGATCTGACATTGTTTTAATTTTGAATCTTGATTTTGTTATTTAGTTTTATCTACAAATTGAGCATTGTATCATCTATGAACTGAATGTTTTCATCCAAGTAAGGGCACATCCCTAAAGCACTAAAACTTTCTTAGTTGATATCAGTTCTTTAATTTTATATTTATTTGTGTGTTGGTTTTGGCTTTTTGACTATTTACAAGTATTACTGAATATACTAATTTCTTACTCAATATTTCACAGTTGTTTAACAGGCTAAAATGAGTAGCTGTGTCAGGGTCTCTGAAATGGAGGGATAGGCAGAGGGAACATGAACCTTCTAGGCCAAGGGCCTAAGGCAGCTCTGGCCTCAGTATGAAGAGCCTTTAAGGAACCTTAATGCTTTACCCTTTAACTCTGAGCAGGTACTGGTAGATGTGCCGTGTACCACAGACCGCCACTCGCTTCATGAGGAAGAGAATAACATTTTTCAACGGTCAAGGAAGAAGGAGCGACAAATGTTGCCTATGCTGCAGGTGCAGCTACTGGCGTGAGTGTTAGAGTTACAAAAACTCAAGGGTTTGTGCCAGAGTGCTCTAGGACTCTGGTCATTGGGAGATTGGGGGGACCAAAAGCTTTGCCAAGACTGTCACCCATAGAAGGGTCTTATAGCTGGCGATTTGTCTGGAGGAGATGTGATCATCCTTTTCTGGAACATTAAAAACTCTAATAGGACATACCAGGGTACACTGCACAAATTTACTCATGCTGTTTTCCCTCAGTGCCAGTGACTTGCCTATTTGAAAAGTAGCTATTGCCAGATTCGTTGGTGTGTTCCTGTAATTTCTGCTACTTGCAAGGCTAGGAAGGAAAATCATGTGAGCCCAGGAATTTGGGGCTGACCCTAGATTCTATCCTGGGCAAAATAGTGAGTCCACGTCTTAAAATTTTTTTTTAAAAAAAAGGAAAGAAAAGTTGGGCATGAATTCTAGCACGTGGAGGAGGCTGGGACAGGAGGATTGCCTTAAGTTCAAGGCCAGCCTGAACTACATAGCAAAACTCTTGTCTCAAAACAAAACAAAACAAAAAAACAAACGGAGGGAGAGAAAGAGGTAAAGAAAGGAAAAGAAAATGAACTCATGAGGGTTGAGGTAGAAACAGTGCATAACTGGCTTCAATGTTTAGTTCATAGCCAGTCAGGATGCAAAGGAAGGCTTCCCAGAGGAGAGTTCATGGAATAAGGTTAGATTGCTCTCTGCCTTGAGAATAAGTTTTCAGGCAGTGTCATCATAGAAGGGACTTAATTAAGTGGCTAATTCAGCTACCCATTGTGTAGTGGACTACTCTACCTTTGTAGCTCTTTATTTGCTCCTTCTACTGCTGAGAAGTCATTGCTTCTTTCTGTTTTTATTTTCAGGGCTGGACTTCTCGCCACCAAACCAGGAGGCCATGTTGTCTATTCCACCTGCTCACTCTCACATTTACAGAACGAGTATGTGGTCCAAGGCACCATCGAGCTTCTAGCCAACCAGTACAGCATCGAGGTTCAGGTGGAAGACCTGTCCTACTTCCGGAAACTTTTCATGGACACATTCTGTTTCTTTCAATCCTGCCAGGTTGGCGAGCTGGTATTGCCAAACCTGATAGCCAATTTTGGACCTGTGTACTTCTGCAAAATGTGTAGGCTGACATAGCATCACCCTGTTCCTGAAGGAGGAAGACAAAGGGTGTATTCTGTTGGAGGTACCAGAAACCAAGACCATTGGCAGATACACATCTGGGTCCTGCCTCCATCTTCTTCCAGTTTTTATGAGGACAGTTTTAAGCAGTAGGAATTAGGAGTTTGACCTCGTGTCCAATTGTGGAGCATCAGCAGGTTTCTAGCTCACTTATACCTCTGCCCCTGTCTCCACATCTTTGCTAAGGGTTGCTACCTCATGTGAGGGTTAGCAGGAGGAATGAGTGAGCAGGCCTTCACTGTAAGCTGTAAACTTGGGAAAAAGCAGTCAATAAAATTGTTGATGCTTCATAGATCTGGGGCTATTGTTGGGGGCTTCGTGTCAGTCCAGGTGCTGTTATAGTTCCGTTTGTTCCCAGCTGCAGCTGCTGACTACTAGATCCAAAGCGCCTGGTTACAGGCCTCTGGTTGTAGCTCTCCTCTCACACTTGAGGTAAGTTCCACTTGATTAGCTGACAGGTCCAGCAAGCCTCCCTACTTTCCCCATGATCTGATTTGAGGAGCAACCAACTAAATATGTTAAGCTTGTGCGTGATAATCTTACTCATATTGAGAAAGCTCTCCTGAGCTGAAAAATTCTGACCCTTCCTTCTGCTATTAGTGACACTACTGTGTGGCTGGAGCAACTGCTTCTGCCATAGTAGTATCATACTCTTTTGTGCATTTCTTCCTTTGTTCCTTCTTCTAGCAGCAAACATTGCATGAGCTCCTGTAGGACATGGAGCTAGGGAGTTGTGAGAGCATTTGGGAACTCACCTTCTTTTCTTTCTTTTTTTTTTTTTCTTCTTGAGTTTATTGGTACAATCTAGGTATACAGTACAGTTATATTCATTACTGGGATCCTGCACCTTTACATGACAGGTCTTGGTCCTTTTGCTTTCTGAGAGTACCTAGGAATCTTGTAATGCTTTCTTCTGTGGTTCTAGGGATTAAACCCCGAGTCTTAGGCAGTTTTTGTTCTTGTTTCTGTCGCTGAGCTCTGGTGCTTGTCCTTTAACCTCCCTCTAAATCCCTCAGCACTCTTCCCAGCATCACTGGGATTCACTTCACACAATGTGCTTGAGGGCAACATTTTATAATTTACTGACAGCATGACGGTTATGTAGTTATGTTTTTGTAACATTAGCCTTAAAAAAAGATAACCTTTATTGTAGGAACTGGTCTACGAACTTAATCATGACCAAGGGGTGAAAAGGATGAAAAATAGAGAGATAAAGCGTCGTGAGCCGGTGACGCAGAGCACTGTCCAGCAGTGTCTCAAACCTGAAAGAGCAGCGGGGTGGAGATGGGGCAGAGAGAAAGGAAGGACGCCAACACAAGAGTCTGATCAAGGCGACGTTTATTGCAGGCAAGCATCAGCCTTTTAAAGGCACAACAGGAAACACCTGACTCCTACAGATCTTTGGCTATCCGAGTTTCTCCCGTGCAGGGTCAAAAACAAGTTTAACATGTGCAGTCCTTAAAAAGGAACAAATGTTAACAAATGCTAATTAGGAATATCCTGACCACACATTGTGTCAATGCCTTGATTATAAAGAAAAGTTATCTTTCAAAAAGCCAGTGGGCTATGACTGTCTCCCAACATATCCCCCTTTTTATTATTTTTAGAGCAGGGACTTTCCCTGTTCAGCAGAAAGGCTGTGCCTGTCTTAGGTGAGAAATGTCCAGAGAAATCCCTTACCCATCATCAAGCCATGAGAAGTTTAATACTCAGGCTCTGTCTTAGGTTGGATATTTCTTCACAATTCTCTACCCGTCTTTGACTACCAGCCTCTGCAGGGGTTATACCATGGGTTGTGAAGGCTTGACATGTAGCTTTCTCTACTTCTATCAACATTTGTAACCCTTTTTCCTCATACCAGGACTCATTAATTTTTACAGGCATCATTACAAAGAGAGGTTGTCTCAAAACCATCGCAGAATGAAAGGAAGTCACCATTTCTGAGAAAATATTAATTGTAAATTGACCAATTGTATAATCAGTTTCATGAACAATCTCTATAAGCATTAACACAAGACATTATATTAGAGGCCCCTATGCCAACAATATTGAAACTAAGGCTAGTAACTTTGACATCTGACCATAAACGTATTTCTCCCAATGCAGCAGGTTTCCAAATGTTGGTTTGAGGAAAACGTGAATCTGTTTACCAAAGTCCTGCAGACAAGCTTAAGTTTGTGGAATATTCGAGTGACCAGTCTAAAACTTTCGAGATGTGTCATTAAATAACCTTTCCTGAGGTATAGTAACATAACATATTTTCCATAAAATCATAGTATTAAGGACTGTGGAGGTTCACCAGTCCCATAAATCCTCATTCTGGATAAAGAAGGGAAACTTTTTGCTTTTTGGAATGAAATTTCCACTTGTGCACCGAGATACATCCTGGAGTTTTCTCTGCTGCTTCAGTGTTGGGGTCCCAATCCGGTCTCCTCAGTGGAAACCCAGCTTCAAGCTGTTCAGGGATAGTGGTAGGTCTATAAATGTACCTGTAACCATAAGTAGGTGGAGAAGAAGAGAAGGGAGAATACCTGGACCAAAAGGTTATTATCAAACAATATGCTGGAAAACCTGCATGGTCAAACAATATAAATACATTTTGTATACCAGAAAAGTAGCAATAATAATTATTACAAATTATATGAATTCTTATATCCTGTAATGTAGCTTTGTATCAACAGGATCTTCCCCCTTTTTTTAACAGAAAATAGTATATTTAAGATAACATCAGAAACATGTTACAATAACATTTATAATTCAGACCTTTGATGATAACCAATGTAGACATATTTAACAAGGCATATCTTTATATAAGGCTATGAAAATTATTTTGGCGGCTCCCATTAGTGAACAAAGATCAGAATAAATTTTCTGAGCAGCTGCTTCTTTATTGACCAACAGGAGCGTATCCAAACTTAAAGGTTATATTTAATTATCTTTTAAGTTTTTTATTTGATCCTATAAAGCCAGGTTGTAGAAATCAACAATCTATTTGTATTTGACGTCATTTTGATAAAAAACATAATTGCACAAACATTTTTGAACATTTAAAACAGACAAACATATAAGACAATTTTAACGAGTGCACTCGGATGGTTTTGGCCAATTGAACTATAAAATCTTTTAGTTATGACTAGTCAAAATTTTTGCAGGTCAAAATTAACAGAGATCTCTTGTAGAATTAGGGTTAAAGGAAGAAGCCCTTTTAAAATCCAACTACTCCTTCCTAGGATGATTCCAACACTGCCTTTTGGCAGGGGTCCAAATATTCCCGTGGGGAGAGCTTGTGTTCCCATCTGAGGGGTTGACACTGTGTAGGCGGAGGTGGGGAGGTCCAATCCTGCACTGCCTGGGGTTGCTCTGAATAGGTCATGAATGGATTTCGATTTGATGCCCCCTGTGGGACAAATTGAATGCTGGGATAAGCTGTTTTCACATTTGTCCTCATATTTGTTGGGGCCCCGAGGTGGGCCCCGTTGGAAGTCCCTTCGTCCACTAGGGGGTGGTCTTTTTATAATTGCTTTTCTGAGAAGAATCGATGAGTTTTCCTTCCTTGTCAAAGATTGACCTACACTCTGATGCCCAATGGTACCCTCTCCGGCACTTAGGGCATAGAGCTGATGGTCGAGACCCAGAACTGGGTTTGTTAGGGCAATCTCTCTTCAGATGTCCAGGTTGCTTACAACCAAAACATGTGAGCTCTTTCTTGTTGTGCAAATTGGTATAAAATGTATCTAAACTCATCCCTTGAGTGGCAGCGGCCATAGCCATCCCTTGTGCCCATCCCTGAGTATATCCTGGTCCTATATCTGCACATAGCCTAATGTATCCTGAAAGATCTGCTTTTCTTTTATAGGGTCGGATGGCAGCCTGACAATGTTTATTAGCATTTTCAAAAGCTAGCTGCTGAACGAATGGCAGGCCATTATCTACATTACCAAAAATCCTCCCTGCAGCAGTAACTAATCGACCTACAAAATCTGAAAATGGCTCATCAGGTCCTTGCCTTATGTTAGAGAGGCTAGAGCTAAGGTCCCCTTTGGAGGGAAGGGCAGTCCAAGCATTGCGGGCTGCCAAGGCTATCTGAGCATAAACAGGAGGATCATAATTAATTTGATGAATAACATCCTCATAAGCTCCTTCACCAGCTAACATTTCAAAATTGACTTGACCCATATTAGCCTGAGCATTATGGTGAGCAGTTTCCTTACAATTATCAAAAAAAAAAAAATTGGATTTCCACAAAAGAAAATCACTTTACAGACCATCTTCCAATCACTGGGCATCAAAAAAGACAATTGTAGTGACTCAATAATGGCCAAAGTGAATGGTGCATTTGTTCCATACTGAGCTGTAGCTGTTTTTAAAACTTTACAGACCATCTTCCAATCACTGGGCGTCAAAAAAGACAATTGTAGTGACTCAGTAATGGCCAAAGTGAATGGTGCATTTGTTCCATACTGAGACAGCCATCTAATTCCTCGATAACTAGATAAGCATAAGAGCTGAAGTTGCCCAAGTCCTCTTCTTCCTTTTTGGCCTCCCTCAGAGCTTTCTGGAGGGGAGTGAACTGATGGAGTCTTTCTTCCCCATCTGATATAACCTTTTTATCTATCTTATGGCCATCTAATTCCTCAATAACTGGATAAGCGTAAGAACTGAAGTTGCCCAAGTCCTCTCCTTCCTTTTTGGCCTCCCTCAGCGCTTTCTGGAGGGGAGTGAACTTATGGAGTCTTTCTTCCCGGTTTGATATAACCTTTTTATCTATCTTTATTGCTTCTAATCTTCTAAGGAGCGATTGTTTTTCCTCTGCTAATTGAACTCTTTTCCTTAGTTGTTCTACCTCTGAGATCATATCCGAGTTGAGGTCTTATTTCTCTTATATTCTCTATATCAGGTTCGATGGGAGCAGTGGGAGGAGGACGAGCAGTAGTGAACTCTTTTCCTTAATTGTTCTACCTCTGAGATCATATCTGAATTGAGGTCTTTTATTTCTCTTATATTCTCTATATCAGGTTCGATGGGAGCAGTGGGAGGAGGATGAGCAGTTAATATAGCTCCTACAATATCATTATTATTTTCATTTTCTCCCTCAGACTCTGAGGAGCTTTCTTGAATTTTAGTTAGATCAGGATACAATTCAGGATACAATTTTGACTCCTTTTCCTTATGTTTTGAATTTTGTGATTTTACTTTTCTTAATTCCTCTAAGGTTTCTTTGGCCTCTTTGAGGTGTTTATCTAAGCCTTGTACATCCCTTTTCTGTAAGTACTCATTTATTAAAGACCAGAAAGAAAATGTAATGGCTCCGAGTAAAGACTCAACTGCTGTACTAATTTTCATTTTAGATTCTATGTGCCCCATTGGTACCTGCTTCTCCGAGGATTTTCCCCGCCACCGGGTGTTCCAGACAGCGGTGTCCTCCTTGTTTCGACTCAGCCGAGTCCTTTTTGACAGCAGGCTTCTCTGGTTACTCACTGCTCGCCGCTTCAATTTCAGGTCCCTGTTCGGGTGCCACTTGTCGCGAGCCGGCGACGCAGAGCACTGTCCAGCAGTGTCTCAAACCTGAAAGGGCAGAGAGAAAGGAAGGACGCCAACACAAGAGTCTGATCAAGGTGACGTTTATTGCAGGCAAGCATCAGCCTTTTAAAGGCACAACAGGAAACACCTGACTCCTACAGATCTTTGG